GAATTCAATTGACGTGAACTCGCCTCCCCTGTCCGTACATAGACACTTGATAGGTAAACCCGTCTCATTCTCCATCATTTTCTTAAAACACTTGAAATGAATCAATGCTTCCGACTTCTCACTCCAAAAAAAAATATCCATGATTTTCTACTGTAGTCATCTATGAAACACAAAAAATACCTTTTGTTGCTGTTGGACGTGTGATTGATTGGACCGCATATGTCTGCATGGATGAGGCCCAATATTTGAACTGTTCTCCAAGAACTCTTCCTGGGTATAGGATCACGATGATGCTTGCTAATAATGCAATCTTCGCACAACTCATCTGAGGCAGTGAAGTTAGGAAGGCCACGCACCATTTTTTTACTCTGCAAGGTCCTCAAACCCTTGTAGCTTAAGTGCCCATATCTCCGATGCCAAAGCTGAGATAGATTCTGTGAGCTTGTGTGAAGACACTCTTCATGTTGTTGCTAAGACATCATTTGTGATTGGGCAAACAAGATGAACATCCTATTTGTGCTCATGTCAGTCTGAATAATCAAGCCCTTATAGGGATGAAAGATCTTCCATACCCTTCCCTTAATCAAAATTGCCAAGCCTTTCTCTTGAAGCTGCCCTATGCTCAGGAGATTATTTTTTAACTCAGGAACATAGTACACTTCAGTAATAATATGGTTAACACCATCAATTAGAAGCTTTACATCACCTTTTCCTGTCACCTCCATCCCGGTGTTGTTGCCCAGCTTGACTGAATGCTTGAAGCGCTCATCCAGCCTTGTGAACATGGATTGATCCCCACACATGTGATTGGATCACCCTGAGTCAAGAAACCAAGCATATTTTCTTCTGGCCTCATGCAGCTCTACATAGGACATCAACAATATCTCATCCTCTTCTTCAAGCTCAGCATAGTTCACTTCCTTATTCAAACTCGGACATTCATATTGAAAGTGCCCGAGTTGATGGCATTTGAAACACTCCACTGTGGCCTTTGTAAAAGCTTGTAGGCCTCTGCCTCTTTTCCTACCCCTGAAGCCGCTTCTTCCTCGGCCTCTACCATTGTACCTTTCTTCATATGTAACTTTAAGAGCTTGCTCATCATTGCTATGTCTATTGAACTTCTGCTCATGAACTATCAGTGAACTCTGTAATTCATTTATAGACATGGCATCAATATCTTTGGACTCTCCAATGGCACAAACAATATAATTGAACTTATCTGTCAAAGATCTTAAAATCTTTTCAACCACAGTCACATCAGTCATCTTATCTCCATACACACGCATCTTATTTGCCACTGCCATAACCCTAGAAAAGTAAAAAGTAATAGTTTCACTTGATTTCATCTCTAGGGTTTCAAAATCTCTACGGAGACCTTGAAGAGTCGACCTCTTCACTCTTGTGTTCTCTTCGTACTTCTTTTTCATAGCATCCCAAATGTCCTTCGCAGTGTCTTTCTTTAGGATGGTCTCCATGACTGACCTATCTATTGCTTGGAATAGATAATTCTTGACCCTCAAATCCTTCAGCTGCAATCCCTCATAACTCGTCTGTTGCGCCTCTGTCAATACTGTTTCTACTGGTCACACACATCCTGTCTGCAAAAGATCCCAATATTTTTTGGATCTCAAAAAGTTTTCCATCAGCATAGCCCAGTGGTCATAATGACCATTGAAGATTGAAATTGCGGGCTGTGCGAATTTCACTTCATCTGACATCTCTTTCTGTTTTGGTGGTCACTCAAAGCTGTTGCCTTTTTGTCTCTCAGGCCAGTGTTGGCTCTGATACTAGAATGTTGGGAAGCTCTAATGAAGCAAACAATAACACAACAAAGCTCAAAGATATTCTGGATGAATGACACATTTATTGAACGATCTTGGCTATATATATATATATAGCCCTTAAAGTACTTAACAGAACAGCTGAAATAAAGTTCACGTTTAGCTAAACATCAGCTAACGTGGTTAGTAAAACTGACCACGAACAGTCTCAATTAATCCTAAAGACTAGGAATTTATTTAATAAAAGTAAGAATCAGTAAACACCTAAAAATAAGCAATAATTATCCTTTCACAATTTTGATTGAGTGGTACCGGCGGAAATGGAAATGAAGCACTTCAAAGAATCACTTGTACCGTAACTTCTTAGCCGGAGGTTAACCGAAGATGGAGAAAGTTGTGCCAGTGAATCTTGATTGAGTAGCGGACGGTTGCGATTTCACTCTATTCTGGGGGAAGGGGTGACTGGGTTTTACTCTTTTAGTGGGAAATGGAAATGAAATTCACGGTTTTCCCCTATTCTATTCGAATTTCAATTTTTTTATTTTATTTTTTTTATTGGTGCCACGTCACAAAATTTGTAATTTTGTAGAAGGCTTGTGAAGGTCCTCTGTACTTATAGAATTATTCATTAGTCATTAGGATAACAAAAATTACATTTAGAATGAAAGACAAGCACGTGGAGCATCAATGAAGAATGGCCAAAATTTGATTCCAAAAGTTGTGTTAAACCTAAATAATATCCAAATGTTGTGATCAATATTTATATTATGAGCTTGTTTTGTATATATTTTAAGCTAATTAAAATCAACTTTTTTTTTATCATTATTTCACTATTTTAACCGTCATTTTTGAATTCTTCTCTTACAGATAGGACCCACTTTATCTCTAAGGATTAAAAAATCAATTAACCAAATAAGCACTCTATCGAAAGATTGATTAAAAACAACCACTTATATCAAGATGTCCGATCCGGTCAAGGTGCTATTGGTCCGAAATGACATTACTTTGAATTCCATTATTGACTTGACTATTTTCTATTTTAATTCTAAGACCTAATTTGAATTTTACTTAGCTCTCGTTTGGCCCATATTTTTCTTCTCATATTTTTCTTTCTCTTATTTTTAACCACACAATCTTTCATAATGTAATATTACACGCAAATAAAAAAAATTCATTCTTTTTCAACCACATATTTAAAAAAAGGTACTATTCCAACAATTTAAATTTGGATAGAATAGGGACCAAGCGGGGGCTTAAACTACGGACAAAAATATTCCCAGTCTACATAACTAATGTTTCCTCAATCTTCCCCACTACCTCAAATGAACAAATTGGTTAAATTTTAGGGTTAATTATATAAATGGTCACTGAAGTTTAACTCGAGCTACTACTTAATAATTGTACTTTAAAATGTATCTTATTTGTTATTCTACTATTTTCCCAGTTATCTATTCATTACTCATCTCAACTTTGCTAGTTGAACCCGACGGAATTCTCACTTGACTTACAAAATTCCAACGTGGCCAAATTCACTAAGTGCCTTCATTGGTCGATGATCAGATCATGTTTCAAAATGGTGACTCATATTAGGATTACTTATTAATGTTACAATATTTAAAAAAAAAAAAAATTCAAGTTGTTTGATCGCATGCCTACATAAAAATATCACAATGCCTTGAGAAGCGTCGACTTATTTGTTGATGCATAGAGAAATGAATGCAAATAATGACTGTTTATCTCCACGACCCCAATCTAGTTTATAAATGTAGTGTTACCCCAATCTAAAGTGTCAATTTCATCATTAATGCAATAATTAATATTGGGTAGATTTTTAATATTGTCGAATCCAAAATTTTCTGTCCAAAGTATATTAGATAAATTATTACATAATATTAAATAAAATAACATTCATTAGTCATGATTTATGACCCTTTTAAGTTCAATATATACAATATAAGATATCAATTCTCAACACTCTAAATCATCACGTGGCCACTCTTCCATCGACAGTTAAGATATTTTATTTTTCTTGTGCTCAGAAAAGAAATAAAAGATTTTATACTTTTGTTTAGGTGACTACTACGATGAAAAGGATTCAACGTTAAACTAAAATATCTTTAAGTCAATTAACTTTAATTATTGTCAAAACTTTATTTGGTAGTATCGTACATTTGTTCGAACATATCGCAATGACATATTTTGATGTTTTTTATAATTATATATGTTAATATATATTATTTATTTTGCCCAACAAAACAAATTATTCGTTTCAAATTTAATTATTCACTTTATATGTAAAGTCTCAGGCTTACCAAAAATGCCCATTCAATTATAAGAAAGTAAATCTTATAAATGGTCATGTAGACAGCGTGTTGAACATGTCTTAATAAAAATATATAGCCATGTTTGGTGCAGCTAAAAATTAATGTTTATTGAATTTTGATAAAAGTTCATGAAATAAGTTGTCGAAAAGTTAATAAAAATTGTGGATCTCATTAAATATCTGATTGTTCGTTGAACTTTTACCAACATTTTAAACTAAGCCAAACAGAACTATAGTACAATGAATGAAATTTTGCTTTTTCAATATTGTATTATCCAACTAAACAAGTTTGTCGAACCTCTTCACGCATTTTTCCAGTCAATTCCATAAAGATAGCGGACTATATTACGAAAAAGATTCAAAACTAACGATAAATAGATTAATTTTATCCATTTTATTCATATCTTTTTTATGTGATATAGTACCGAGTTGGTGTGTCACAAAGCAATTATACAAAAGATTTACGGTCAACTAAGCAATTTCTATTAATTTTAGGAGGACAAGTGACCATCATATGTGATAGAGTGAATGACGTTAGTTCCTATTTGTTTAGATTAAAAATAAAAAATAAAAATAAAAATCCATATTTTTAGTACATTTTGATAAAATGTGATGGAATGTGAAAATGAAAAATTACAAATCCTAGAAATTTATTATTGATTTTAATTTAAATTTTATTCAATTTTTTTTATCGAACCAAACAAAGGTTTAAATATAAATCAAAACTTGATGATTTAAGCTTTAAAGCTGAATGACCGTTGATAAAATTATCTCGACTATAATTTCGCGTATGTGTTCAAAGGAGAAAAATAGAAAAAGTAAGAGTAATAAAAAAATTATTTGACATATGAGATTAGTCGACAGCTGTTGATATATTACTCGGAAAGCTCCATCGCAACATAATAAAAAGTAAGAATGAAGGAGTTGCTTACATGACAAAAAATTGGTCCAAGTTGAATAGTCTTCTCCTCTTCCCATTTCAGATCTGAGATTCCTCTGCCCTAAACACACTCTTCATCAATTTTCTGTGAGAACTTCATAACTGCTGTTGTATTTTTCTGGGTATTTTGCTGTTAGAATCTAGGAATTAGGTGCCTGCCTAGGTGGAATGGGTATGGCGGGTATCCAAGAAAATGGGGGTGGGGAGATGGGATTGGGTGGCCTGCCTTTGGGAGCCAAGAATAAGTATAGAAGAATGGATTCGGAGTTGACTGATTATGATGGGGATTCTGAGCAACAGCATCAGCTGGAGAACAAGAGGAGCAGTACAAGGAAATATGTGTTTGCTTGTGCAGTTTTTGCCTCTCTCAATAATGTCCTACTTGGCTATGGTAATTCCTTTTACTTATGCTGATTTGACTTGCATTTTCATTGATCTGCTTTTGTTCTTTCAGTATTATGCTTTAGTAATTTCTCAATCCTCAAAAGACTCGTAATGATCTTCTGTGGAATAGAGTATTAAGGTATACAATCGAGAAAAGTCAACGAACTGCTTGAGGATAAGATGCAAACGATAAATTGCTGAAAATTTTGGATCTGAATTTGTAAATAAATCTACCACCAAATGGGGAAATTTTCTTTATTGTAAGTCACGTATAAACTCAATCGAGGAAGCCCCTTTTCTTTAACTGCTTGAGTTTGTGTAGACAGCGTAATTCTTTTAAAGGATGTCAGATGTGGCGCCTCTCATTTTATTCCCCGCAATGGGAGCATAGTGACCAACAATCTAGCATCATTTTCCACTTCTTCCCTGGCTAGTCCAAGCTGGGTCGGTTGTACTCCTTTTCTTGCCCCATTTGTGTGCGATCCAATTTTAATATAATGAGTTTGTTTATGTTCAAAAAAGTTACATATAACCTTTTGGTATGAGCCAAATTTGGCAGTCTGGATGATTTTGGGATAATAGATGATTATAACTTGTTTTTGAGGTTTTATCAGATGCTGCGACTTAAAATCATTTATCTCTTTCTGGTAATCCTTATACTTGAACCAGCCAACTAGTATCCATCTTAGAAAACATGTTAATCTTAACCTATGCAGTCGCACACTTTGATGAGTACAAAGAAAAATGGAAATTAATTATTTACTTCACTATTTTTAGAATGCTTGTTTGTATAGATTTGATTCGTGCATCTAGTTTGATATTAACATTGTTATTCATTAGTGTGTAAATTGATGGGAGTCTAATGGCTGACTCTGTCTTCGATTCACAGATGTTGGTGTGATGAGTGGAGCAATCATATTTATTAAAGAAGATTTAAATATTAGTGAGGTTCAACAGGAAGTTCTTGTTGGTATTTTGAGTGTGATTTCTCTATTGGGTAGTTTAGGTGGTGGAAGAGCATCAGATGTTCTTGGTAGAAAATGGACAATGGGCTTAGCCGCTGTTGTGTTTCAAGCAGGTGCAGCTGTGATGACTCTTGCTCCTACATTTCGATTATTAATGATCGGGAGAATCTTGGCCGGTGTTGGAATTGGCCTCGGAGTCATGATTGCACCGGTATACATAGCTGAGATATCACCAACAGTTTCCAGAGGCACATTGACATCATTTCCTGAAATTTTCATAAATGCCGGAATCCTACTTGGGTATGTCTCGAATTATGCATTTTCTGGTCTTCCGGCCCATGTGAACTGGAGAATAATGCTCGCAGTGGGAATTCTGCCTTCAGTCTTCATTGCATTTGCATTGTGCATAATCCCTGAATCCCCTAGGTGGCTAGTTATGAAAAACAGAATAGACGAAGCTAGGTCAGTACTTTTAAAAACGAATGATGAAGAGTCCGAGGTTGAGGAAAGACTCGCAGAAATACAATTAGCTGCCGTGGTGAGTCCTGGTGAGAAAGCTGTATGGCGTGAACTGATGTGCCCTTCTCCCGCACTTGGAAGAATGCTCATTGCTGGTTTCGGGATACAGTGCTTTCAACAAATTACGGGTATTGATGCAACTGTTTATTACAGTCCCGAGATTTTTAGAGCAGCTGGCCTTGACGGTAATTCAAAGCTTCTTGCTGCCACTGTTTCAGTGGGAATCACGAAGACCGTGTTTATACTAGTTGCTATTATACTTATTGATAAAGCTGGAAGAAAGCCATTGCTCTACGTTAGCACGATTGGCATGACAATCTGCCTGTTTGGCGTGGGCATCTCTCTCTCGCTATTCAGTGAAGGATCATTAGGAATTGCATTGACAATTTTGTTCGTTTGTGGAAATGTAGCATTCTTTTCTGTGGGAGTTGGTCCTATTTGCTGGGTTTTGACTTCTGAAATCTTCCCTTTAAAGGTTCGTGCGCAGGCATCCGCACTTGGGGCAGTGGGGAATAGAGTATGCAGTGGCGTAATAGCCATGTCCTTCCTGTCGGTTTCCCAAGCAATCACAACGGGCGGAACCTTTTTTATCTTTTCAGCTATTTCAGTACTTGCTGTTATCTTTGTTTACATATGCGTTCCAGAAACAAAAGGTAAATCCCTAGAGCAGATCGAATCATTGTTTCAAAATGAATATGAGACGCCAGGAAGTGAACTTCAGCTCGGAGATGTTGAACATTTGGTGGAGAAATGACAACTTTTTTTCGGCACAACACAATTCTTGGTAGAGAAACTGTCATGCAGCATTTGGGAATCAACAATCTATAGTTCAGATTCTACTATTACTTGAAATTTCTAGTTCTTGCACACGAAACCGACTTTGGTGAATCTATATATCTGGTGAGCGCGTATTAAAAATGTACTGGGTAACATACATTGATGTTAGATTTACTTGTTGGATGAATAAAAGATTATATTCATTTACTGCCGCATGTATTTTTATAAGCTTGTTCTGTAACGATTGCCATTCGGGTTTATATTTGTGTAATGATTTTAAACATCTGCTCTTGTTTAGACTTACGACTTGAGCTGCGAGTCTTCTGAATTTTGGTTTCCTTTCGTAATCAGCTTCTCTTATGCTCTGCTAAGAGCATGTTAGTTACAGTCAGTGATGCTATATTGAATTCGATCAATTTGAGAAGACGGCAAACAAGAGAATTGTGTTTTGCTAATGATCGTGCCCCAGTGAAATAAATTTATGTAGTCTAATTTTAGATGTAAATCCAATTTTTTTTTTTTTTTTTTAAATTACACATTCTCCAATAAAATATTATTATAAAATGCATTTTGATCCAAAAATGATGTTGAGACAAGGACGTAATCCTCAAAAATCAATGTCAAATTAGGGAGGGTAATAGGCCAACCACCTCAATGGGCTAGCCAAGCTAGGCCCGTGGGTCGTTTGGGCAATATATTCATCGAGGCCTGCCTTATTAAATATTCAAGGGAAAATTACTTTAATCCCTACATTTTAAGTTCTAATAATGTCTTTAATGAGACAATTATTTTTTTTTCTTTCAAAAATTCGGTTTATCCCATTACACCACATCCCAACGTCACATTCCACCCCTCCCTTGTGTAATAATTTCAGAGAGAGAAAATAAAACTAAACCCTAATTAGAAATTAGTCATTAATCTCTTTGCACTTTTTGACACAGTCTTTTTGCTGGGCCAAACACTCATCCACTTATTTCTTATCTAAAATCTACATTTTCCTCGTTGAAATTTGTCCTAGATATTTCCATTTTCATGACTTTATTACTATTTTCATCTATTTTTCACTGTTTATCATAAGGTGAACAGAAAAATTTATGTTGATATCTTCCGTCACGAATGAATTGTTACTCACAGTTTGTTAAGTTATGACCAATTAATTTGATAATATAATTGAGAAATATTTTGTGACAGTAAAATAAATTGTGACATATAAAATTTGTTATTTGTGATAAAAAAAATAATACATGACATATTTATCTGAGAATTTATGATTGTTAAATGAGTTGTAACCAATAAAATTTATAGTTTATTATAGTGACGTTCTGTGATTTTTTAACTAGTATGTAATTATGATCATAAGTTGTATAATATTATGACCTTAATATATTTAATTAATGAAATTTAAATTATGACCTAATTTTTGAAACTTTAAAACAAGTTTCTTATTTTCAAAATTGTGTATTGTAACTACCTTAGACATGTATAGTTCCCAATCCAATATATTTTCTGATTTTATTTTATTTTTACCAAAATACGGTTACTATTATTTTTTATTTTAATTTTTTACAATACATTTTTATAAGACAATGTGGTACAATCCTACAACACATTTCCTCACCTATTTGGCTATTTCTACCAGCATCTCGTTGTTGTTTGTTATACACATTTTGTCGCTATTTCCATTTTAATCTCCACCACAATAGTTGTTACCACAGTTCGAATGTGGAAACAAATTATCCAAAAATTAAAAAATTTCTTTAATTCAATAAAAAAAGATTGTCTAGGTGTTCACTTATATGTTATACCAAGAATAAAAGATTCGATCTTTTACCTAAATTCAATGATCAATTCTTTAATTAATTATGACTCACGAACTTCCAGTCTCTTTTAATTCCAAGAACTTGATGTTTCAAACCTCCAAATTTTTAATGGTATTCTTTAGAGTCAAGATTACACTGGTGGATTCTTTTAATTAAATCAAAAAACTAATTCTTGAACTGAACAATTGAAAAGTAAGAAAAATAATAATTTTTTCCCTCTCTCTCTCTCTCTCTCTCTAATTTTGAACTCTATGAAATTATATATTATGAGTGTTGTAGATGTTTTACGTTCTATCTAGTCTCTATTTATAGAGATAGAATAATTTCAGTCCTAATACAATAATAATTCTACATTGAAATAAGAGTTTTAATTAAAGTCGAAATTCAATTAGTTTACATTTAAATACATGCTTAGTCATAGAACTTAATTTACAATTATAATTAAATTTATAACTTTTATAGTAATTGCTACTAAGTACAAAACTTTATTGTAATTATAATTAAGCCCAAAATTATTATAATTATCGTAATTAAGTTCTAATATTTTATGGAGCTATCATAGGGACTTGATTGGACATATATTATCTGAGTTCCAAAAATTAAATCTTGTCTAGTCGGCTCTAGACTATCCAATCTTATTATTAGTCTTTGTTTTTCCACTAAAAGTAAAAGATTGAATTCTTGTAATATATAAGATCACAGAAGTCAGTAAATCTGTAATACTTTTTTTTGATATGTTGTATATGTATTTTATCTCCGCCCTAGATCTAATAATTAGATACGAGCATAAATAATCATTTTGCCGTTCTAATTAATTTTAGTATCATTTTCTTCAATGATACTGTGAACTAATCACGGATGTCGAAATTTAACTGTTGCTAAACACTAAACTCAGATTTTAACCTATCACCAGAAAATATTTAAGTAGTCACTCTCCCATTTTTCAAGGTGACAGTTCTTGACAGGAATTCATGTTTTTTACTTTGCTCATTCTCAAGTTTTCAACTCATCGAGATATTTGACCAATAAAAATGATCTCACCCATTGATGAATCATAGGACCATTAAAATCATGAAAATATATACATAATCCCATCAAGAGATTTAAATGAAATACACAGCGGTCAAATGGAATTTAATTCTCCGAAAGATCATGTTATAAAATTAAATTCAGCACATGGTTCGCTCAATACACTCCAAGTGTACTAGTGTCACATTTAACTATTTCTATGATAAGGACAAATCACAAACTTGAATAGTGAATCAATCAACACTACAAACTTTCAGTACTAGGTGCCATCATAGGCACTTTAATTCGCATGCTCAATAAATAAAATAAAAAACAATTTGATATAAGAATATTGTTATTTTTTACATCAGCAAAGCTATAATATATAGGCACACAACCCAATAACCACCACCACCACCACTATTACTAGTATATTCAGTGTTATATCGTCGATGTTGTCGCTAGTACTACCTATCTGGAAACACACTCTTTTTGACATCTCGAATGAGATAGATGAACTTTTCGCCATAAAAAAATGATGATGTGAAACTGGTTGTTCTATTTTGTTGTTGACGATGGTGATGAATAGGGGATTTGGGATGGAATCGTAGGACTACAGATCTGAACATGACTATTCTCTAAGAGCCTTTCCTCTTCGACAACAAGCACTTCTCATAGTTCTTTCACCTCAGTTAATGATGTCGTTGTTGCGTCTGTTGTTTCTGGTTGTGTTGTTCTGTGTTTCCAATGGTGGTGAATTGGGAATTTGAGATGCGATCGTTGGATGGCTATAGATTTGACGATCAATGATGGTTGTTGATAATGTACATGTAGTGGAGGAAATAGTGGCTTGATAGGGTAGATGTGTGGTGTACTTGAGGTGAGGTGAAGTTGGTAATGTGGTTGAGGTCTATGTGGTGGTATGGTGGAGGTAAGGGTGTTACTGGCCTTGAGTTATGAATAAGCATTTATGGTGGTTTCGATGATGTGCAGTGTTAGTAGGGTGGAGTAGGTCCTCAACTTTTGCTTGTTTTCGCACTTATAACCTCAATCTTCTCATCTCTTAAATGTTTATTAATTAACACATCTTGTCCCCATTGACGGTTAAAAGTCCATATTATGATGAGTGAAAAGACTTGTTTACCCCTTGATTTTTAAATAAATAATATAAACAATACAGACAAAGTTCAACAAAAAATTTGTAAGCTAAACATTATCCGATAAAAAAATGGTTCTTATTAGTTAAAGATTGAATATAAGAATGTGGTGAAAAATTTAGAGAATTAATTATCAAAATTAAATGAAAATTGAAAACCATTATTGCAGTTTAAATGTGGTACAATTAACAAAAAACAGTTATGTTAATATAGATATTGTTAGGCAATTCGTTGTCAAACGATCTCCCTGTGCTATGATGTTATTCGGTTTTAGTTTTTAGTCGGTTTAGCCAAATGACTGAACAGAAATATAACGCCACAATCGAGACGATACGACCCAAAAGTTAATTGGGCCACTCGAAGCAACCTAAATATTCTAGTGTTGCTCGTGGCCCATTTCGCTTTCTTGGATGGCCACAATTGAGAGAGATTACTTGTGAGCCCATTTACTTATTGGGCCTCTACTTTGACCCATTTATTAACCTAGCTACACTTACCATACTTGGGCCATTATTACTTGATAAAATGGGTCTCCTTTTCTCTTTATGAGAGACGTCATCTGCCTCTCTCGTGTTTGGCTATTTTTTTCAAGTTTTCTTCTACTCTTATGCCTTCTTTTGATTTCTACCTATAATGGTGATAATATATGAGATATGGTGCACATTTGTGGTCTCCTAAGTGAAATATCTCATTGGTAACCGAAAGTGGAAGCTTTGTTATTTTCTTGGATCGTTGTTGTAAGATTGTGGTGTCAATAGTTGGAAGAAATTGAGCCCGGGCAAGCTTTGGTGCTCCATATACGTTCAACATCTGGTATCAAAGCTTGGGTTATTGAAATCCAGCAAGAATCAGAACAAAAATTGGAAGAATAGGGCGATTTCTTCAACCCTCCCAAATCCGAAAACTTTAATTACTCCGTTGGACAAACAGAGGTCGGACGCATACTCGGTAGGCCGAGGCAACCATGGTGGCGACGCGTGACGGAGGCCAATCATAGCGCATGGGTAGTCCCGGGGCGCGATTTTCTCTGCCCTTCATTTATTTTAATCTCATGAACGTACTGATGTGTTTGGTTTAGTGTTTTAGGTTGCGAAGAAAATTTTGGATGATTTTGTCCCTGACCCCAATATGCATTTCTGGCTGATTGAAATTGACACTTTTGCTGAATCTTTAGGGTAAATAGTGGTGTCCCTAAAGCAGTAAATTCGCATCTCTCCACTTTACGAAATCAGATAGGTCTACTTTGGTAAATTGGCTAAAACATTTACATTAACACACTAGTAGATCATCGTGTGGGGGATCATCAAAATTGTGGTTTGTCATTGCTTGGCATCGATTGCTTG